TAGTTGATTAAATTTATGCATTTGAGAGTGGTAATTGTTCCCTGAAGTACCTTATCGATAAGCGTGTCGAATCCGTTAATATAATAAAGTAATAAGAGCCAGATCGCAAGGACAGAGTGGCTCATCAAGAATACATATATAGACTTTATGGGCCTGTTACATACAGTTTAAGAAAAGCACTATGCGTCGTTTTAGTTCAGGGTATAAAACAGCAAAAATTTGCGACGCCAGAGTTGAGGAAGTCGATAAAGGCGGTTCGGATGAAAGCGTTGGGCGTAAATCAAATTATTGTTAACTATATATGCATACATATATATGACATGCCTACTTACTACATACATATTTATATACATACACTCTATGTAGATTAATTAATCCGACAGCAGAGAGTGGAGAGTGGAGAGTGGAGAGCAGCCGGGCACACCCAATTATTCCCTTGGCCAATTGACCATGCCTGGCACGTAACGCAGCTAATCATCATGCCCATCCAAATAATAATAGTTACGATGATGACAGCACTACTAGTCGTGTTCGAGCCGGACAATGTGTAGAGCACGGACTGGGATTTGATTTTTGGGAACTGGACAGCGGCTTTCTAGCTGCTTGCCAAACTTGGCCGAGGCGCTGCGCACGCGCCACATGCAGACGGCGCCCATGGGGATGGGGGAGGAAGTGAATCGATGTATGCCAAAACCGAACTGGCGCAATCCATGTGCGATGCATGCAAATGTGCCCTGGCATATTCCTAGCCATCAAAGTCTGCATATCTACATGCACGTATCGTGTATATCAGTGCCTCCCATCAATGACACAGATGGCCATCATTAGTGGCTAATAGCCAAATGCGAGCAGACTCTACATTCCGAGCGCCTCTGCCACAGAGCCTATGTCTGGTCTTTGATCTGGTCTTTGATCTGTTTTGCTCCCTGGCTTTGCCACTGTGTGCGTGTGCCTCTGTCCTGCTTTCTACTAGTTGCTCAACGTGCTTTGAACTCTTTCCTTACATTTTCCTGAGCCTCTTCTTCCGCCTCTACCGATTCGTTCTCCACCATTGTTTCATTCTTTTTGGCTACAGCTGAGTTTGTGCTTTATTCTACATCTTCTTCGATTTCTCTTTTTTTCTTATTCCTTCTCTTTCTTTATTTTTCTCACTTTTTTATATACTCGCTCTCTTCTTTCCTCGTATTCTCTTTCTTTTTGCTTTCCTCTTTCTCTTCTTTCTGTTTCTCAATTTATTTTTCGCTTTTCTTTACTATATTTTTCAATCTCCTTCTCCTCTTTCTCCTTTTCCTTTTCCTATTCCTTTTTCCTATTTCTTTTTCCTATTCCTTCTCTTTTTTCCTTCTCCTTTTTCCTTTTCCTTTTTCCTTCTCCTTTTTCCTTCTCCTTTTTCCTTCTCCTTCTCCTTCTCCTGCTCCTTCTCCTTCTCCTTCTCCTTTTTTCCTTCTCCTTCTTCTTTTCCTTTTTCTTTTCCTTTTCCTTTTCCTTTTCCTTTTCCTTTTCCTTTTCCT